CAAATCACTACAGTATGTTATCAGTCAGGGGTATCAGATATCATTTAAACCTTCATTTTAAACTGATTCACGGGAAATAAAACTCACATTTTCTTTTCACGAATACCAAAGGGGCATAACGTTTGTCGAAAGTAATCGCGGAATAATGACAATCAAATCAAGAAAATACCTTTTACCACGCTCTTAGTTCGTGAACCTTATTGCTTACAGTGTTTACAGTATCCTTCAGAACACGCTTTTGAAACTATTTCTTTTACACATGCAGTTAGACTTAAGGCCTTTAATTAGAAACAAAATGCAGAATGTGTTTTGGGCATGCAGCCATGGATCTAGTGCATAAATAAGCAATAGTCTCCCTTTGGCGCTAAAATATGCTCGGTCATTTGTCCACAACAAGAAGTGAAGAGTTTTCCGAGAGCAAAGCTCGTGGAAAGCAGCTGTCAGCTTCAAAACCGAGATAATTTCCAAGGACAAATAAATATCCGAGAACATTTTTAAAGTCAAATGAAGGCTACTGTGCTTCTTATCCTTCAAATACCTTTCGTATTAAAGAAGCAGAATCCTTTGAAATTTGGGGAATATCTCCCGGTTATCTCTCCGGGGAATATCTCCTGGTTATCTACCGTAGCTTCCCAACTCGGCTTCTCACCAATTCCCTCGCAGATTCTACTCTTGCGTCACGCTTGGCTTCGCCGCCAAAACAAAAGCACTCCGGCGCGTGCGAAATCCTGCCAGCTACGTAGGCTGTAAGAGAGTTCGATCTGCCTGGCTGCCTGATGAAAATACAAACTAAACCTATTTATTCAAGATTTCTCGGAATCACAAACACAACAGACGGGTGTGGTCGATTTCATCGTCGTTTGGCAATCTGCAGTTTGTGATGGAGTCTCTCTTGTTCGATCTGTTGGGATACTTACACCAAACCCAAGAACATATCTTGTCTTCATTCCTTCTGCTGTGAGTACTTGGAGAAACACGCATTAGTCAGCCAAAAACAAGGAATATTTCGTTGTCCTGAGTGTCAAACCGAAGTTGGACTCCCTGAAGGAAATCGTTTCGATAATTTGCCAACCAGTTTTCTCCACAACAGTTTGCTAAGTCTTCTCG